CAGGGAGATCTCGGTCTCGGGTCCTCGGAGCGGGTGGCGTTCTGTCCAGGCTCGATTACCACTGCGGCGGCGCCTGGCACCACGGATGCCCCCGCTGCTGCGGAAGCCGCCTCCTTAGCCGTTTTGACTACAACGAGGTTGGCGGCGGCCGTTAACTTCCGCGCCTCCGCGATCTCGCCCTGATCCATCATTTTCTGAGCAACCACCAGGCTCCGCGAAACGGTTTCCTGGGCACCAGACATCGACAAAAACAATGTCCTAAGTTCCGTTGCAACCTCCCCCCCCGCTGCTGTGGAGGCTGGTGCTGAATCTGCCAGTCCCTGCGGAACTGCATCAGGGGCCCCCTCTGGCAGCCCCCGCTGCTGCGGAGACTTCGGCAGAGGCTCCTGCGCGGTTCCAGTCGCGCCTTGCTGCTCCATGCCCCGGGCCGCTCCCGTCGCGGAGGCGGGCGGGCGCGGCGGGGGGCAGACCTGCAACGGCTGCGGATTCACTTTATCGCAATGCCATCCCTCCCTGCGCTCAAATGACTTTTCCCCTTGCGCCAGTCTGCTGCTCCCACTTCTGAACTACCTCATCCCTTCTACCTCTCCCTGCACCCTCCTCTTCCTGTTCAATCCTCCCTCCTCCCTCCACCGTGCTCATTTCTCCTTGCTCCCTTCTCTGCTCCTCCTACGTGGGGCGTCTCGCGACAACGACGACGACGGCGACGACGACGACGAGAACGATGACCACGACGGCGACAACGAGAACGACGACGACCACGACGACGACGACGAGGACGATGACCACGACGGCGACCAGCGACGACGACTAGCGACGACGACGACCGACGACGAAGACGCCGACCACGACGACGACGGCGACGACGACAACGAGCGACGACGACGACGACAATCGACGCCGACGAGGAACGACGAGGACGAACGAGGACGACGATTACGGCGACGAGATGACGAAGGTTCGAAGATCGAACCTCGAAGTGCGAAGCTTCGAAATTCAAACTTCGATCTTCGAACTCCGAACTTCAAACTTCTAACTGCGAACTTCGCTGGGGTGCCAGGGACGCAATGGGATGGAGGGAAAAATGGGAAGGAAAGAGCGAGGAAGCGGGAGAGGAAGTTGGAGGAGAACGAACAGGCGTGGAGCGACGAGGAACGGGCGGCGAGGAGCCGACGTTGAGGGCGGCGGGATAGGGGGACAGGGAGAGGAGGGAAGACTTCAGAACGAAGATCGCGCCACGGCGCCTGCACGCGCGCCCCCGAGCTGGGCGGCCGACGCGCGCGCCCCTGCCGAAATGCAACGCGCCCTTCATTCGAGCCCCGCTGCTGCGGAGCCACCTACTCCACAACCAAATCTTCTGGGGAGCTGTTCGGTCCCCAAACTACTGGTTCTTCAGCCCCTCGGCTCTTGCGAGTCCGCCCTCATGACAAGGGCAACCTTCACATGGGGACACTCAATGGGGTGTTGATTGAGAACGCCCCACGTGGCCGGTGGCAGGAACGGACGAGGGGGGGCGGAGACGGAGGCGAGGCGTGAGGAGAGGGCAGGACGAACACAGAGGGAGAGGATCAGGACGAGACCTGGCAGGGGATATGCACCAGGAGAGAGATCTCATGGAGGAAGAGGAGGGGAGGGGACGAGAGGCACTCATAATTAAGCGCACGCAGGCCCTCGCACTTGCTCAATTTCTCAGCGACCGCCGCGACGCCATGCGAACTGTCGTACCACCGCCACTACTGCGGCGGATGCGTGACCTCTCCCATCCCTGTCCTGTGCTGTTTCTGCCACCACCACCACCCCTTCCAGCCAGGCTCGGGTTCCAAGCTCGGAGACGGGCGCGGCTGGCGGCTCTTAGCGCGGGTGCGCGTGCTGCCTCCAACTCCTCATCCCCCTCCTCCTCCTCTCCTCATCCTCCCTCCTCTTCCTCCTCGTCCTCCTCTATCGGCCCAGCCCCGATCGCCGCTCAGCTCTCCTGGTGCGGCTGGCGGCAGAAGTACCGAATATTGCCTGGGATGTCCTTCACCGTCTTCTTCGACATCTCAAGCATCATCTTGCCCTTCTCCTCGGTGCGGCGCGCCTCCTCCATCATCTGCCGCGCCTGGTCGACGAGCATCTGGCCCTTCTCTCCAACGGCGCGCGCATGGCGGCAACGATTGCGCCGCTCGATGAACCGCGCCACCATGGTCGCCCAGCTCCAAACACTGCCATCCGTCGCGATGAGCTCGAAGTCATCGACGTCGCACTTGCCCGCGATGCTCGCCATAGCGGCGCAAGGCCGCGACGGAGCCTCCTCTGGCAGTCCCCGCTGCTGCGGAGACTTCGGCAGAGGCTCCTGCGCGGTTCCGTCGCGGAGGCGGGCGGGCGCGGCGGGGGGCAGACCTGCAACGGCTGCGGCTGAACTTTATCGCATTGCCATCCCTCCCTGCACTCACATGGCTTTTCCCATTGCGCCAGTCTGCTGCTCCAACTTCTGAACTACCTCATCCCTTCTACCTCCACCTGCACCCTCCTCTTCCTGTTCAATCCTCCCTCCTCCCTCCACCGTGCTCATTTCTCCTTACTCCCTTCTCTGCTCCTCCTACGTGGGGCGTTTCACGACAACGACGAGGGCGATGACCGCGACGGCGACAACGAGGACGACGACGACCACGACGACGACGACGAGGACGATGACCAAGACGGCGACCAGCGACGACGACTAGCGACGACGACGACCGACGACGACGACGCCGATCACGACGACGACGGCGACGACGACAACGAGCGACGACGACGACGACAATCGACGCCGACGAGGAACGACGACGACGAACGAGGACGACGATTACGACGACGAGATGACGAAGGTTCGAAGATCGAACCTCGAAGTGCGAAGCTTCGAAATTCACACTGCGACCTTCGAACTCCGAACTTCAAACTTCGAACTGCGAACTTCGATGGGGTGCCAGGGATGCAATGGGAGGGAGGGAAAAATGGGAAGGAGAGAGCGAGGAAGCGGGAGAGGAAGTTTGAGGAGAACGAACAGGCGTGGAGCGACGAGGAACGGGCGGCGAGGAGCCGACGTTGAGGGCGGCGGGATGGGGGGACAGGGAGGAGAGGGAAGACTGAACGAAGATCGCGCCACGGCGCCTGCACGCGCGCCCCCGATCTCGGCGGCCGACGCGCGCGCCCCTGCCGAAATGCAACGCGCCCTTCATTCGAGCCCCGCTGCTGCGGAGCCATCTACTCCGCAACCAAATCGTCTGGGGAGCTATTCGGTCCCCAAACTACTGGTTTGCCAGCCGCTGCTGCGGACGCCGAGGGCCCGGTGCTGGACGCCGCGGCCCCGCTGATGCGGGGCCCCTGAGAAGACGTCGGCCCCCCCTTCTCTCTGGCGGCGTCGAACTTGACCTTGCGCTCCACACCGAGGTCCTTATGCCAGCGATGTTCCTGACCCGTCGCTCCCGCCCAAACCCGCGGCTGGTGGCCTCACCGTGTCCGCGTGGGGGACGAGGGGCAGAGCTTCGACCTTCCTGTCGCCCCAGTGCGGGTGTAAGCGGACGCCTGTCCCGTCGTCGCGGTGCAACACGAAATCCCACATCGGCAGCTTCACTTTCACCCGCTGCCCCGCGAACTGTCGCGCGCGCACAATACTCCGGCGCATGTGGTCGTAGCTGTTCGGCCGGACTTCGAGGGGACAGCCGATCAGAGCCCCGCTGCTGCGGGGCCCCCCCACGACCTCCGTGATATCTTCCTCCCTGAGCGTCGCCACCATCTCTTGCCACCGCCAAGGGACTTCCTCGTCGCTTTTGAAACCAAAGCTCGTTCTCGCACCGTGGTCGCAAACAGCGACCATGGTGGGCTCCGCATTATCAAACCACTTGGCTTCTGACTCGAACGGGGCAGTTGGGTCTTCATTCAGGCGGCGCCACCATTTCAACGCTTGGTTGTGTTGCTTAAACGAAGTGCCGAGCCTCTCTTCATAACTCAAAAATTAATTAACATCAAACTTCTCAAAATCCTGGGGCCCGCGCGCCGCCGCCGCTGCGGTGGCGCGGGGCTCCTGCGCCGCAGGCGCGGCTCGGGATCCCGACCCCTCTCCTGAAACTGTGTTCCCAGGTTCTGGTGAGTTTCGGAGGGCAGCCCTCACGAAATTATCGAATTCGGGCATGCCGAGACCAGGAGCGCGGGGGCTCACAACGCTAAGCGCGGCGAAGCGAGACGGCCGTTGAGGCGAGACCGCCGCCGCTGCTGCGGCGGCAGGGCCATCGCGCCATTTGGCGTCCTCCGTTGGCGTGTTCCCGTCTTGTCGCCAGTCTCTCCAACCCCACGCTGACCAATCATGGCCGTCCTCCCAGCCACGCCAGCCGCTGCTGCGGCTATCCCACCATCCCCCCGCGCCACCCCATGTGTATCCGCCTGCATCGCCCATTGCAAGACGATGGCGCAGGCGCGCGTTAGGCCGCGACGGGCCCGGCTGCACCGTTGCTCGCGGGCGATCCCACGGGCGCGGGGTGGTTTGAGCATAGCGGCGACGGACGACGCGATGTGATTGGACGGCAGAGAACTTGAAAGGAAGGGGGGTTGGAAACGGAAGAACGAAGTGGACGAAGAGCGGAAATCGAACCAGAGGGGGGAGAAAAAAGAGCGGAAGAGAATGAGGACATGCAGACGAAGGAGAGTGACGAGGTAGATGGCGGGGCAGAACGGCAACGGAGGATAATGTGGTGGAAATTGTGAAAAGGACGCATGGAAAAACACGACGAGGATCACAGACGCAAAGATGATGAGCGCAGTGGTAGCATGTCATATCCGAAATCAAGAAGCAGGATGAGGAGGAACGGGATGACGAGCAACTCTGTCACAGAGAGCCTCCAAACGCACCCCCTCTGTCACAGAGGGCCTCCAAACGCGCCCCCTCTGTCACAGAGGGCCTCCAAACGCACCCCCTCTGTCACAGAGGGGGGGAATGATCACTTTAATGCGGCTTCTGGATTACGCGGCCCGGAGACGGGCCAGTCCGGGAAGGCGGTCGAGCAGTTGCTCTGGACCGCCTCCCGGAACTCCGGATAGCGGCGGCCCTGCCGGTCGTGCCGCACAGGGAGGGTGCGCAAGTCGTCCCCGTGTCGGGGAAGCCCAGCACCCCCCGGCTGTCCGTCTCCGTCAGCGGGGGCGGGCGCCCCTGCGATGGCGGCAGCCAGCCCCGCCAAACCTCCGGCAGCAGGCGCCGGAGCAGCGGCCGCCGCGGCGCCGGCTCCCCCAGCCACCAAGGCCCCGCCTGGCGCCCCCGCGCCGGCCGCGAGGAGCGGCACCCCGGGCCCCGCGCCGCCAGCCCCGGCCGCGCCGCCGTCTGCGGGCGGCGCGAGGGGGACCCCCGGCCGCAGCCCCGCCGCCGCCCAGGGCGGCTGGCATGCCAGCAGCCACACCTCTGTCAAGCAGCCCAGCCGCAGCCCCGCCGCCACCAGGCCCGCCGGCGGCGCCCCCGGCGAGGGCCACGAGGCCCCCTCGGTCCTGCTCGAAGCACGCCATCGCCACCTGCGCCTGCTGGAACAGAGTGACCATCTCCAGCGCGTTGGGCATGACGGCGAAGTCGTAGTGGGCGCGACCTCCAGGAGCTGCGACCGCCAGCGCACCGACGCCACGGGGCTGCTTGAGGTAGTACGTCGGCGCTGCCAGGGGTGAGCTCTTCCACGTACACGTCCATGTCGGGGGTGAGCGCACTGTAGGCCCCAGCCACCTGGCTTGAAGCAAGCAAAAGAAGCCGAGCATGCAACATTGGAGGGTCAACGTCGTACTCAACCCAAATCTCATCTCCTGCGTTCATCGATGCTGGCCTCCTCCTCTCGACAGACGCGGGCCAGGCGAACTGGCCGCCACCTCCGGGAGCCGCGGGGCGGGCGCGAAGTCCGCGCGCCTCGCCGGGCCCCAGAAGTACCGCGCCCAGCTGAACGCCGCGCGGACGAGCTCCAAGGCCAGAAGCGCGATCGCCCCCAGCAGGAACTCGAGAGCCGCGCGCCACCAGCCCGCTGCCGCCCCAGCGCCGCACTCGCAGCGGCACTCGGGGCAAGGGTTGGGGCACGCCGGTGCCCTGGTGGCCAGGCAGTCGCCCAGCGCCTCCTACAGGGTATCCAGCACCTGCCGGATGTCCCTCGGCGCCTCGGCGCCGCTGTCCAGCTCCGCCTCGGCGGGGCTGGGCGGGGGCGCCTCCACGGGCGCCGGAGGAGGGCGCGGGAGCGCCGCGAAGTGCGCAAGGAAGACCACGGTGAATTGCGCGATCCCCAGGCTGGCAAGCGCGCTGAAGCTCGGCACCATCCGAGCTGCCTCGCGAGAGAACTGAGCCAGAAAGGTTGCGGAGGATAAACCCTCGCGGCATTCCGACGCCGATGAGATGAAATGTGACACACGACCATCATCATCATCATCATCATCATCATCAGCAGCAGCAGCAGCACCATCCTCCTCCTCCTCATCATAATCATCGTCAGCATCAGCATCATCATCAGCATAATCAGCATCATCACCACCAGCAGCAGCAACAGCATCAGCATCATCACATCATCATCAGCATCATCATCATCAACATCATCATCAGCAGCATCAGCACCATCATCAGTATCATCATCCACATCATCATCAATAGCACCATCTCTTGACAGCAATAAACGATGCCGATCCGTTTCGCTCTCATATCCTCCGCGCCAGAACGGCTTCAGTACAGCGCATGGGTGAGAGCGGGAAAAGGATATGTAGGGGAGGCACGGAAGGGCGTCGGGGGCGATACATCTCGACATCCCTCCTCGAGCCTCTTGCCGAGGGCGCGCGCGCAGCGGGGCAGGCGCTAGCCACGATGCCCAAAGCAAAACGCACACGCTCCGCGGCTCACGAGACGGCGCCTCCGCGACCTCAACCCGCGGCAGGCAGCGTCGGCGTGGACCGCACTCTCGGCACTGTCCGTGTGGTGCAGCATGCGCACCCCCTGGCCCAGCACCCGAGCGCAGATCAGGCACCCGCTCCTCGTCACCAGCGGGTGATGCCGATCACGCAGAGCCTGGCAGTTTGGACTCGAGTGGATCGAGGTCCCGACCGTGTCCAGGTGGAACAGCAGCACGCCCCTGCCACGCGGCTCCGACGGCCCCCGGCAATGATCGCTGGGAGCGTCGGGTGCTAGAGGCGGATCGGGTTCTGGCTCCGATCGGCCCCTCTCCGAACTCTCACTGGGCTGACCCTTGGAGCAGCCCTTGCCCGTCCGTCCTGCAGCCGACCTCGGGAGGTATAGGCACAGGCACCAGCCGCACCAGCACAGCATCACGCCCACGAGCATGCAGAAGGCCGACCAGGCCACCACGATCGCCAGGTGTGGGTCGGGTCCGCCGTCGGGCGTGCCTGGCTGGGCCCTCACGCCGTTCACGAGGACCATGAACGTCGCCAGGTACCGTGCTCCTCGGGACGCACTCAGGGCAGCCACGATGCCATTCCCGAGGGCGTCGATCGGAACCAGACCGAGCATGGTGCGGCACTTCTCGAGCGCACCCTTCCCCAGGAACTTCGTCCCAACGTCGGGGAGGTTCTCCGTGCCCTTCACCTTCACGATCTTGATCTGGCCCGTGCCGACCAGCTGCTGGAGCCATAGCCACTTCACCTCCAGATGTCGCAACCTGCCGAGTCCACGCCGTGAGGCGATCGCGATGGCGGAGGACGCGTCGCACTCGATCTCCAGCGACGTGTCGAAGCCCATGAACTTGACGAGCTCCCTCACGTACAGCATCTCCGCCGCCAGCTCCACGGCCGCCAGGTACTCGGCCTCAGGGCTCGACTGGGCGAGGACGGACTCCGTGCGGGCGTAGGCGCTGACGACCACCCCGCACCACCGCACGATCCCGCATGCTGTCGACTTGCGGGTCTCGTGGCATCCCGCCCAGTCCGAGTCGGTGCTACCTCGGATGCGCTTGTAGTCCTTCGTGGAGCGGTGGACCATGGCCAGGTCGACCGTCCCGCTGAGGTAGCGGAGGAGGTGCTTCAGGCACTTCATGTCGGCCGCTCGCGGCTCGCTCAGCCGACGACCGAGCTCCTTCAGCGGGTACATAACGCCCAGCCTCCGCGGAATCGCGTACTGGATCTTCCCGCAACACCTCCTGTACAGCGAGTGCTCCTCGCTGTTGAGCGGCTGCTCGGCTCCGGGCGGAGTGAGGTCTGGCCTGACCCCAGCCGTGCCCACAGGCCTGCAGCCCAGCATCCCCACCGCGTCGAGGATGCTCTCGACGTACCCGGGCTTGCTCTTCTCCACGATCACGTCCCCGAACCTCTGCAGCGACGAGCCGAGGTAGATCACGGGGGTCTCGCCCAGGACGTACCGCCCCTTGATCGCGAGGTGCTTGGCCAGCTCGTCGAATAACTCGTCGAGCACTCCCCGCGTGGGACCTGAGGCAAGAGGATCGTCCGTGTGGACCACGACCCTGATGCCCTTCTCGGTGTGATGGTAGATGGTGGGCTCCGCCTTGCAGACCTTGAATCCAATCCCGACCACGATGCTCTCCAGGAACTCTTGGAATCGGAGCGCTGCCTCTCTGAGTCCATACAGAGACCTCTTCAGTCTCCACACGTATCCATGCCCCATGCCGTACTCGGGCGGCATCTCCACGTAGATCTCGGCGCCGTCCTTCACGGGCGTGTGCATGAACGCCACGCTGAAGTCCGTCGTCACGATGACGTGCTTGAGCATCAGCGCCGCCGCCATCAGCACGCGCACAGCCTCCGTGCGCGGGGTGCAGGCGAAGAAATCCCCCGCCTGGGCGTCCCTGAACTGCTTCACGACGAACCTGCTGCGAACCCCCATCACCCTTCTTGCGGTGACACCACCTCGTGCCCCACACCTTCTTGTCGCGGGGGCGCGCCACGACCTCACCGACGCCGAGAGACTCCATGAAGTTCGCCTCCCTCTTAATCCCCTCGCGGACGGCGTCAGGGTCGAGGCACTCACTGTCGTCGTCGTCGTAGTACGCCTCGCTCAGCAGCTCGAAGTTGGGATCGAGCTCGCACGGCGCGCAGAGCTCGGTGTCGTCGGGGTAGCCCATCAAGTTGGCGACGGACACGCTGCCAACCTTCACCGTGCCAATTATCCTCTCCTTGTGCGCCTCGCCTTCCGCAGGCGCCTCATCGCTGGCCCGCTTGCCAGCCGAGCTCTCAGGCTCCTCGACTGCTGCACGCCCCACCTCAGGTGCAGCTGCGCTCTCCGCCGCGGCCCGCTTGCTACGCGGCTCGTTAGGAGGCAACCCCCTCCTCTCGAGGCAGAAGTTTGAATGACGGTACGATGTGCCCAAGCATCCACTACAGCCTGGGGTAAACTCTCTTGACATCGGGTCTGGGAGCACTGGTGTAGCTGGTCAGCCCCTCGGCCTCTTCGTGACGGGCTGTGGTGCGTCCTCGACGTCGTCCATGGCCTCGTCGCCGCCAGCGGCTGCCTCGGCACCTCCTGGGTCCCCCTCCTGCGGCTCCTCGAACCCCCCCTCCCCCTCCTGGGGGCTCGCCTGCCCCTCCTCGGGCGCGGCGCCCGCAGGTCGCGGAAGCCTGGCGGGCTGCGGGAGGTTGAGGTCGAGGGCTGGTCTGTCTGCTACTGGCGTAGATGCATTCGGCGCCTTCGTGTCGCTCGGGATGCCCTTCATGGCCAGGAGCAGCTGCTTGTCGTAGCGCTCGCTCTCCACGAGCCTCCGCATGGACCTCGCCACGACGATGCCGCGCCTGGTGCCGCAGATGTGGGAGTCGTCCTCCAACGACCGCCCGAGGTAGATGCCGTAGCCCCACGCGGACTCGAACTTGGCGGCGATGGGCCCAGGCTGCCTCCACATAACCGTCTCGCCGAGTGGTAGGACCTTCTTGGCGTAGTGCCTCTCGTGCTGACGCTCGTAGGACGTCTTGTTGTCGGAGCGGTGGACGAGGAAGCGATCGTGGGTCCACGATGCGTGGCGCACGATCCAGGCCATCAGGGGGTGCCTCAACTCGATCACGATGCCGTACTTCGCCCCGATGGCTCTCCTCCAGGTCCTCGTCATACCCTCGATGAACGAGTGGAACCTCTCCACCATGCCGTTGCTCCCCTTGCTCGTCTTCGGTGTGTACCTGAAGGTCGCGTTGTTGCCGATGTCCCTCGCGACCTTGGCCGCCACGTCCTTGGCCGCATTCTCGGGGTCGCACTGGATGATAACCTTCTCAAACCCGAGCTTCTCCACGTACCGCTTGAGACACTTCAGGAGAAACAAGTCTCCCCCACCCTTCGCCTCGCACCATACCGAGGCCGTAGAGTGGTATACGTTGTCGATAGCATTCATGACTGGGTGCACTCTCTCGTCACGATGCGTCTTGTCGAACATGTAGTCGATCTGGATCACAGGCACACCCTCTACCTCGTTGATCATCTCATGCCTGTCGTCCAGGCCTCGCCCCCCTACACAGTCCGCGCACCACGCTGCGTATGGGCAGTGGAGGGCCTCGTGAGCCTCCCTCTCGGCTCGCGTCGGCTCCCGTGGAGCCGTCATCGCAGTAGCCTCAGGCCTGACCTCTTGCTCCACCAGCTGATCCACCTGTGCAGCGATGTACTCCTCGGGGACGCCCGTCGCCGCGTTGTTGACGACCAGGCCGTCCGCGCCGATCTTGGTGCCGACGTAGCTCATCACCGTCGCGCGCAGGAAGAACAGGCCGAGCCTCCTCTTCAGCCCAAGCCGCGATCGCCCGCTCCTCGAATCCCGCGTGATCGAGGGCGGGCCCGTCGAGTCTGACGGTGGGAACTCCACCCCAGCTCCTGCCTTGTTGATGCTGCTGACGCTCAGGATCGGTTGCGTCACCTCCGTGACGTGGAATCTCACACTGATCTCGTCGTGGTTCTGTGTCTTCAAGTTCACCTGCATGTCGCCGAAGTGCTTCAAGGAGGTCCCGCTGGCGACCTTGATCTCCAGCCTCTTGTCCTGCATGGTGGGGTAGTCGGGGAAGTCGCTGGGACCGCACACCGACTTGTTGGCGCCAGTGTCCACCATGATATCCACCGTCTGGCCAACTCTTGTTCCGCTCGGGCCCTCAAGCGCGCCGACGGCGAAGATCCACGCAGCGTCCTCGCACTCGGAGCACTGGAGGGCGCTGGCACTGATGGAGGCGCTGGCGTCCTCGTGGGAGGAAGCCGCACCCTTCTCCTTCTCGTTGGTGGTGTCCCAGCTCCCCCACTTCTCATCCCACGTGTTGCCGTCCCAGGCGCTGCCGTCCCAGGTGTTCACGTTGTGGATCGTGGCGTAGCAGTCCTTCTGTTTGTGCCCCCACTTGCCGCATCGTCCGCAGTGTCCCTGGAATTTCTTCTCTCCGCCGGCGAGGCCACCGCCGCTGCTCCTGTCCTTGCCCTTACCTCTGGTGTCGTTGCCTTTGCCACTTGCCTTTGCCTTTGGCCCTGCCGTGTCCTCTTCCGCCCTTGCCGTTGATGGCGCCGATGTCCATCGGCGCAGGGCCACCAGGCATGGACTGCTTCGTGAGCAGGAAGTCGGCGGCCACCTTCTTGATCCTCGCCCACTGGATCTCCTCCTTGGGTGTTCCCAGCAGCACGTGGTTCCTCAAGGCGTCAGGGGCTCGCGCGATCAAGACTGCCGAGCGGATGTTGTCGCTGAGAGCCTCGCTCGCCAGCTTCTCGTACTCCTCGATCGAGATCTCGAACTTCGCCATGCTATCGAGGAACTCCGCCTCTCCGCCGAAGTCGAACTCCAGTACCCTCATCAGTCTCGACAGGATGCTGCCCATGTTCTGAGGGTCATACTGGGAGCTCAACCTGCGGCACGCCTCGAATCCGTCTTGGTTGCTGACCTTGCGGATGATGCCGAGCGGGGTGCCCTCCGTGTACATTGTGAGCTGATAGAACAACGACTGCGCCATCTGTCTCCACTCGTCGTCGTAGTTGGCGTAGTTCAGCTGGTTCTGGCTGCACTCGACCTGGGTCATTCCCTCCAAGCACTTCCGACTCTGATTGCCGATGTACGCCTTGAACTTGAATGTCCAGTCGTGGAAGTCTGGCTTCTTCATGTTGTCGAAGGTCGGCGGCTTGCCCTTGTCTCCTATGATCGCGTTGGCGAACGCCTTCGTCGACTGCTGCCGATTCGCTGCCTCTGCGTCGGCTCGCTCCGTCTGGAGCCCCGTGATCGTCTGGTTCTGGTTCTCGACCGTCTCCATCAGACGGCCCAGCTCGCGTTTCGTCTCCAACAACTCCTGCGCAAGAGCCTCCACGCTCATCGCGGCCGTTCAGCTGCCTCACAGGCAGGCAAGCTGAGCTCCGTGGATCTGCGGGTCAGTGTCACCCGCGCTCCGCTACCATCTTGACAACAATAAACGATGCCGATCCGTTTCACTCTCAAATCCTCCGCGCCAAAACGGCTTCAGTACAGTGCATGGGTGAGAGCGGGAAAGGGATATGTAGGGGAGGCACGGAAGGGCGCCGGGGGCGATACATCTCGACACAACCACCAACAGCATCATCAGCATCATCAGCATCGGCATCATAATCATCACCATCATAATCAACATCATTCTCATAATTCTCATCATCATCACCATCATCATCACCGTCATCGTCATCATCAACAGCATCAGCATCATCATCTTCAGCAGCATCATCATCATTAGCATCATCAGCATCGTCATCAGCATCGTCACCATCATCACCAAAACCACCATCATCATCATCGTCAGCATCCTGATCACCATGGTCATCAGCACCACCAGCATCATCATCAGCATCATCAGCATCAGCATCACCATTGTCATCATCGTAATCACCGTACTCCCCAGCATCATCGTAATCAGCAGCATCATCATCATCATCAGCAGCATCAACATTAGCATCAGCATGATCACCAGCATCAGCATCATCATCATCATCAGCATGAGCACCTGCATCAAGAGCACCATCAACATCGGCATCATCATCCTCAGCCGCATCTCCATCAGCACCAGCACCATAATTATCATCTTCCGCATCATGATCAGCAGCATCATCAGCATCAGCATCATCGTCATGCTGCTTCAGAGCTGGGGAGGGGAACTGCGCCAACAGTAGAACTGTTTTACTGTGGCTACATTATCGTGAACAGAACAATGTCTTCGATGGAACTGTAATCATATGACAGCAGCTGCCAAGTGCAAAAGCACTTAAAAACCCCAGAACAGCTCGAGCATTCGCATCAAGGCGACAGTACTCAAAAGGCCTTGGACTGGCGGCGGGAACCAACAAGAGCAGCTAGCGAGAGCTGAATGGCAGGACCAGCCTTGCCCAGACAGTGCAAGCACGACGGAGCGAGGACCCCTAGGGAGCGAAGCGCGATTATCAGGGCGCACACGCACCGAGGGAAGAGGGTCCACGAGAGCAACGACAAAGGCGCTCTTAGCATCATTGATGCGCCCGCACTCCCATGCTGTTTCAGAGATGGGGCGGGGAGCTGCTCCAGCAGTAGATTTGTTTCACCGCGGCTATATTCTCGTGAACATAACAAACTATCCGGGGGAACTGTAAATATATGACAGCAGCTGCTAAGTGCAAACACACTTTTAAAAGCCCCTCTGCATCCCCAAAAACGGATGATCGCTCAAACTTTGAAACATTATCACATGGCCCGAGACACGACTGTTTTTGCCAAGGCCCTGTTCAAGGCCTGTGGATAAGTCTGGGCTATGGCGGTCCATCTCACTCCCTCTGGAGAGGCCCCCTCGACCTGAAGGCGGGGCTTGTCGGTTCGACTGCAGATGCCGGCCCGCCCGCCACAAATCTTGGACAGCCTTGCGAGCTCGTCAGGGCAGATATGGCCAATCAAACAACGCGCTCGCTTCCGCCACCCGGTGCCGAACGGGCAAAGTCGAATGCAACTGTTGAGACGAAGCGTTGCTGAGCGAGTTTTACTAACTCAGGTGTCTTAAACATGTAGCTACTATGCTGGTTTTCTCAGAATCCAGGGGGCGCCCGAGCGATTACAAGCCGCGATTATCTTTAGCACCGCCCGCAGACACTTGTCACCTACGACGAGCTTAGTCCAATCCTTTTCAGACATTTCGGAGCGAGAGAAGCCCCAAGGACGGGCCTGGCTCCTGATCGGGGCTGAGCGAACCTTGGCAATCGAGATAGACACGCAGGGAGGTGCCAGCATGACGCCTTGGCATCTCCCCGACTGGATGTCTGATACGAGGTGGCGCAGCACTTTCTGCGCGCCAGGCCCCCATGCTCGCCGCGCAGTTCCCCCCGCGTCCTCGCCTGGAAACCACGCCTTCTGATGGCGCGGGCGACACCTCCTTTGCCGGCGAAGGCGTCGGCGCAGTAGAGGTCTCTTACGCGCGGACGCCCACGAGCGGCAGCGGGGCGACCGCTCCGTGGAGGATGATCGCCTCGGCGCGTCGCTCGCACTCGGTGGCGCACCTCTAAACTTCGATCGTGCGTTCGCGGTAGCCGCTGGCGAGACGCGCGCGCAGTTCGTGCAGCAGGGCGCTTTTGTCCGCTCGCCACTGCCCTCTCTTCTTCACGTCGGCCAGCGTCCTCAGGCGCCCGGCCGCGTCGATGGACGGGCCGGAGTGGCGCGCCTGATAGGGCGCCAGCCCAGGCGCCCCGATGTCCCGCGCCGCGCGCCGGAAGGATTTCAGCAGATCGCCGTAGTCGAACATCCGCAGCGGGCCGTCCCCAGCCGCCTCCATTAGCTCCTCCATCGCGGGGCCGATCCACCTCGCCCAGCTCGAGTCCAGGAGGATAGACCCATTCGCACCGCCGACCCTGCTCCTGTCCGCCAGCTCCTCGGGATGAACCAGCAGCGACCAGCGAGCAGTCGCCTCCTGGGTCGGAGGCGTCAGTCCCGGGCCGCGAACGCTGAGCAGCTGTCCGGGCCTCACGTAGGTGATCAACATGATCAGCACGAGCAGGGCCACGTCGCGACGCCCTGCCGTCACCAAGGCGTTCACCAACCCGAACCACACCCCCAACGCCTCGGGCTTCCGCGACCGGCCAGGGCGCAACTTGTACCAGCCGCGAAGCGCTCGCCAGGCTCGCGGGAGACGTTTCGAGCCCAGGCAGTTGAAGCTCGGGCGGAGGCGCAGCCAGCCGGCCAGCGTCTTGGCCCCTCGCGAGGCCTCCACGCCGGCGAAGAAAGTCTTCTCGAAGCATTCGGCGACAAGGCCGCCCAGCTCGGCGCCCCCGACGCGGTCGACGCCCCCCCCTTCGACTCGACGCGCTGCCTGAACCGATCCACCTCCAGCCGGCGCACCGCGTGCACGGGCCTCGCCACCGCCCGCTTCTCCAGCAAGGTCAGCCCGCCCCCGTGCGCCCCCATGGCCTCCTCGAGGTACTTGCGAAGGCGGGACTTGGACCAGTCCAGAAGCGTCCGCTGACGCTTGGCGCCGACGACCCTGCTGACGGACGTGGTGCCAGCGCTCGGCGAGGGCGATCACGCCCGTCGGCGACGATCGCGCTGCCCGGCGAAGTCGTCGCTCGCTAGGTCGGGCATGGCCGCCGCCAGCTGCGCCAACGCCATGGCGGCCCTCGACGTCGCGTGGCCCGCCGCCAGGCTGGCCTGACTGCTGGCGGGCAGGCGCCCCAGGGCACGCCCTCGCCGCGGTGGCCCCACGGCGCGGCCCGCCTGCTGCGGGGCAGCCGCCAGCGCGCGCGTCCTCGCCCGAGGTAGGGGCACGGCTGCGGCCGCAGGCCTCGCCGTTTCGGCGCCGTGGGACAGCGCTCTCGGCGCGGGGGAGGCCGGCAGCGAGTCGCGGGCTGCATGGGCGGCGGTCGACAGGGTCCGACTCCGCAGAGTGGCTGGGACAAGCGCCATGGCCTTGAGCCCGCGGTGCGACCGACGCCGCGACGGCTTGTCCTGGGCTCGTTGAAGTGGCTGGGGGCCTGCTGAGGCCCATGACGTTCAGGGTGGGCTGAGGCTCGCGCTCAGCTTGCTCATGGCTGTCTTTATGTTGATGATGAAGCTGATGTTGCTCACTGTGTCCTCGTGCTATATGGCGGCGGTTAGCTAGAGGCTCTTGTTCACAGTGTTGTCCAGTAGTAGTACCGTTCACGCGATGATAATGCGGCTCCGAAGTTTGTTTGCTGACGACACGTTCATTCTGGGGCCCCTCGGGGGACTGGGCGCTTGGTCGAGGCACGTGGGACGGGATGCACCAGGCCAACGAGCAGGAAGCATTGTCATCAAAAATCCGAGAGGCCTCGTCTGCACTGTTGAGCTCACTCGGGATCCAGCGGACGAGGAGACGAATATTACGAGCCAGGAGGTAAGCACTGATAAGTCTGATGAATGCCAACGTTGAGTAATCTTTTGAGCGAGATCGGCAGATCGACACAACCACTCCCATGTTATCGCAGAGATGCAAGCGCCTGATGTCGTGCCCCCACCGCGTCTGGGCGAGGCGACGCACGGCGGCCAGGACAGCGCGGGCTTCGAAAATGGCGATGCCCTCGGCCCTGGCCCAGACCCCACTGCGGCGCAGGCTCCAGCGCGCCTGGTCAAGCCACCCGGCGGGCATCTCCTCGAAATCCTCGTCGAGCACGCAGGCGCCTGCCGAGGCCTCCTCGGGCGCCGACGGGCGCCAGGGCCCGGCGCCCTCGCCGTCGACATAGCCGGCGAGCTGCATGGCGCGATAGCGCGGGGCCAGCTCCAAGTCAAGGCGTCACGGCGGAACCGGCCCCGCTCGGCCACGCGCCCCACGCGGGCGACCTCCCTGGCGTCTATCATAATGGAGGTGGCGCCCAAGCCGCTCTCGGACGCATCGGAGGCGGTGGCGCAGCGGTTCCAGGGCAGCACCCAGTAACTGCTGAGGAAGACCAGGGGGCCTCGGAAGCAACTGATCTCCTCGCGCACGGAGGTCCACATCTCCTGCCGCCCCCAGTAGGTGGCCTGAATGAAAGCGTAGCTGGCCGAGAAGACGCTGAGCACATCGCGCCTCACCAGGCCGGCGCAGGTGCAGTGGCCCAGGAGGCGCTCCAGATTCCGGCCAGAGCTCGCCCCGCTGCAAGGCGCAGGCCAGAGCCCTCAAGGCGGCAGCGCCGCTTGCCGGCGATGGCGGCGCAGAGGCGCTCGCAGTCCACGACCGCGCCGAGGGCCGCCCCCTTCGACTCGAAGAGCTCCACCACGTGGATGTCGAGCCTCAGCTTGTTGAACGCTGCGACCTCCTCGTCCAGCGCCCCCCCAACCGCTCCTGGATCCTGCCCGAGCACCCCCGAGTTGTCCACGTAGACGTAATGCCAAAAGCCCTGCTCGCGGACGTCGCCCAGCTGGAAGACCATGGGCTCGCCGCGGTCGGTAGCCAACCTGGCCTCTCGCGAGAGATCGCACTGTCGCGCCAAGTTAGCGTTGGAGTTCTGGCAGAAGTAGAGCGACCAGGAGCGACCCATCGGCAGGGCTCTGCAGCACGGGTATATCAGATCATCGCCGCCTGCCACGCGGCCCCCCGATGTCTCCACTGCGTCCAAGCGCATCTCGCTGACCAACGGGACAGGGAAGGCGAAGTAGGGACTCATCCAAAGCGGCATCGCCACTCTGTGGAAACAATTCTCGACATCGCCAACCCCGAGACACAGGCGGAACGCTCGCAAAATGCCCAAGCTCGCGCCCTTCAGCAGACACGGGTCGTCGTCGACAACGACCTCAAGGCGCGACGAGCCCTCCGCCGTCATCAGGTCCACCCGCGGAGGAGGGTGGAAGCGCTGGCTGGCCGGGCGCGCATATGGAATCATCATCACCCTCTGTCTGCCCTTCTTCCACACGAAGGAGGTCCCAACGAATTCAACAGGCTCAGAGGTGCATCGCATCATACCAATCGAATGCAGCCGCCCCATGAAGCGAACCAGCAACCGCGTGCTCATTGCGAACGCAGGGTCCAGGCGAGGCCGCGCTGGGTCGCTCCGGCGGAGACGTTCTGAATCAGGGGCGCTGCGCAGCATCCGCTCTCCACGACCCTCCAGGAAACGCAGGCCCTCGGCGTCGAGCAGCTGTTCCAGGCGCGGCGCGTCCCGGGTGCTCTCCGGCAGTGAGACGAGCCTTAGCTAGACGGGAGCTACGTTCAGCTGGCCCGGCTCCTCACGCGAGCGGCGACCTCGGAGCAGCTCTAGATAAGCCGCTCTCGGCGAAGGCGCGTCGGGCACCACCTCCTCGGCTCGCGCCAGTCCGCCGACGCGCGCAGCCACTTCGCTTTGGATGTCAGCGCCGCCGCCGCCGCCGCCGCCGACAGCCGGCGAGCAGGCCGCCCTTGCCGGCCAGTTCAGGGCGTCGATCGCCCTATTCACCAATCGAACATGCAAGTGACGACCTCGCAGTCCGCGACTGAGGCGACCTCCTCCACGCGCCGGCAGCGGCCCCTCCAGCCGCGGCAGGGGAAACAAATAACGTTCGCCGTGAGAGGCTGGGAAGCGCCCGGCGCCGGGCCAAGACAGCTGCGCGCCGACGGGGGGCTACTCCTCACTCCTGACTCATGCCTTCTCCGCCATCTCCTCATTCGCGCCTTCTCCTCGCTCATGCCATCTCCGCGCCCCTCGGCCATCTCCTCACTCATGCCTTCTCGACGCCGAGGGGTTCCTGGCCTCGGGCGGCCCAGCCCGGCCACGCCACCGGCCGCCGTCACGACCCCGGCCCCGGCCCTTCGGCCCATCGCCGGTTGCGCCGTCAGGCGCCTCCTCGCTGCCAAAGGCGCCGCCGGCGCCTGGGAGCACGCGCGCGCGCTGAGCCCCCGTCTCCAGGTCGATATCCTCCTTGGCGCGCTTGGCGCCGTACTGCCTCAGCTCGGGCGCGATGGCATCCACGGCGGCGGTCGCCCCGCTGTAGAACCGAGCCATCTGCCAGTTCGGAGCTCTCCCTGGGATCTTGTACGCATCCAGGATAGTCTGGGAACGCCTCGCCAGCACCTCGAAACTCGCCAGCGCCGGTGCGTTCAACTGGTCGAACGTGGAGGCGTAGAACATCCTGTCCACTAGGCAGGTCAGCTCGCGGATCACCTGTTCACGTCCACCTGCTTCGTCCGCGCCCACAGCTGAAGCCACAGGCGCGGGCCCCCTCCGCTACGCTCGATGTGTTTCATCACCTGCAGGTAAGTCGACGGGCCCTCTAAGGGTCAGTGCTGGTCGGGGACGTGGAAGCTCTCTTGGACGGCCTTGCGATACGACTTGTATCTCTCGCCCTGATCATCGGAATCGATCCACAACGTGCGTGCGTCCTCGGCCACAGGAGGCGGTGTTGCCGCGCCGCCAGCGACGTCCGCGCCGGCTGGGTCGGGCGGAGGCTCCGACGCCGACGGCATCGGAGCGCCCGCTCCTGCTGGCTGCAACTGGGCGGCCAGCTCCTCCCGGCGGGCGCGCATGGTCTCGTCGAACTCCGTCAGCGCCACGAGCTCCGCACGACGGCCCTGGCCGTGGCGGATGATGACCATCGCGTCGTAGTCCGATAGCACGTAGTCGTCGAAACCGAGCGTCACCTCGTCGCCGAACCCGCCGGCCCGACCGCCCTCCATGACCAACCAGGCGTAACCTTTCGGGGTGTCCTGCGGGCCGCGCTGCGGGTACTCCTCGACCAGCTGACCGTCAAGCGCCGCCGCGGGCCCCGCCGCATCAGCCGCGGCTCCAGCGACTGCATCGGCTGGGGGCCCGTCGCCCGCCGCGGCTGCTCCCGCCGCCGCGCCCCAGCGCAGCGGCAGGCGGCGGGGCAGGAAGCGGCCGCCGAACATGGCAGGCGGCGGGGCAGGAAGCGGCCGCCGAACATGGAGTCCAGGGGCACCACCTCCCGATGTGGCATCACCGCGTCTGTGACATCGACCAGCGAATCGCCCGCCGCGGCTCCGTCCTCAAGGGCCAGGCGCCGTCCCTCGCGGATGTAGCTCTCCAAATCGTCCAGGGGCAGGGCGCCCGGGAATCAATTCCCTGGCTTGTCGAGCGGGGGCAGCCGCCCACCTGGGCGGAAGTCGAGGATCCGAGTCACCCCGTTGGCGCCTTCGCTGCCATCCAACACTTCGGCGTACATGTCGAGGTCGGGGGTCAGGATGACCCACTAGTCTCGCGTCTGTGGCCACAGCGCGATCCTCTCGTGGTACACGACGTCCGCGTCGTACCACGCCAGGAACCGTTTACCTGGGAGGAGGCGCCTCAACCACGCCTCCCCCGCGTCGAGCCCAACGAGCGCCATGACTCACACGACCCCGTCCGACAACTCTGACTGCCACCCTCCTCGCCAGGGCGAGCGCCGTCTGGACCACCCAGCTGGCGATCCTGATGACGGCGACCTCCTCCCGCCCCAGCTCCACGGCCGGGCACTCTGGACACGGCGCCGCCTCCGGGCACCTGGGACAGACGCACGGCGCGGCGTCCAGGTACGGCGCCGCCCCCGGGCAACTGCACTCGCAGCTGGGCAGGTCCCGGCCCGGCGGGCCCGGCGGGCAGGGATGCCTCCGCAAGCCCTGCGAGAGCAAACTCGCGGTGATGGGGCCGCTCCAGAACGCAGCTCAAGGCCACAGGTCGTAGAGAAAGTCCTCGAGCCAAAAAGAGCAGCTAACGAGAGCTGAATGGCAGGACCAACCTTGCCCAGACAGTGTAAGCACGACGGAGCGAGGACCCCCAGGGAGCGAAGCGAGATTATCAGGGCGCACACGCACCGATGGAAGAGGGGTCCACGAGAGCAACGACAAAGGCGTTCTTAGCATCATTCATGTGCCCGCACTCCCATCATCATCCCCATCCTCGACCTCATCCTCATCATCCTTCTCATCATCATCCTCCCCCTCCTCATCCTCCTCCTTCACCCTTCCTTGCACAAGCAACATGTGATGATGCCTGTAGAATATCCTGCTTGTGGGTAGGGAAGAATACTTTTGACCGCCCAACACAAGGCGGAAGTCCGTCACCCCTGCCTTCAGAGCTAATCTAGCGGACCCGAATCGTGGGCTGGATCCAGCCGTGGATTCTCCAAAACCACAAGGTCGGAAGCTCGGCCACACCGAACCATCAAAACCCGATGTTTGTTGGCCCCCACCCGTCATGCTCCAGTCTAGGCGGACGCCGACACCGAACCAATGCCAGGCTCACCTTTGGCCCAGGATCGGTGTCCACGCCTTCATGGTCAGGGCAAAAGGGCACATACACCCATCGTCGGCAACTAATGAGCATGGTTGAATGTGTAAACTCGCCTCCAAAAAACAATCATATGGTAGGCTCCAACTACTACTGGCACTGATGCGAATTTCTGATTCAGCTCGCAACATGAAAACGCAACGCCTTACGTTGAACACGGCTTGGGGCTGGGAGATAGCTCTCAGGGTGGCGACGGACTCCAGCAGAAGAGCCTCAGGATGGCTTGACGGACCCCTGCTTGAAGGCGACGCGACGAAGGCCGTGAACGAATGGCCCCCGCAGAATCCCACCGTGAGCGCAGCCGCCACGAATGCGGCAGTGCTCGACCTCGATGTCATTGCGAGATGTGCGGTACCACCGAGGAACAACCTGGATTGGGCACTTAACAATAGATGCGGAGCCACATAAATGGCTATGGCCACGGCAACTCCCACGAGCGGGGGCAGCGCTCGATTCTGGAAGCCAGCGGGGTGAAACGTAACGCCCGCTGCTGAAAGACAATGTTAGGAATATGCATGATCAAGCGATGCTGACGCACGGTGCTGACATCCGATCCGTTTAGACAGCAAGCCCGACTAAGTGACACACGTTCGATGACTCGGCTCGAAGAGATGATCACGCAACAGTCATTCCATGGTCGCTGCCCGTCCCACACTGTATGATAAGCTAATTCAGAGATGTCCCTTTGAAGGAGGCAACAGCAGATCCCAGCTGGAACCACACGGATGCATCTCAATAACGAACGGTTGAACTTGTTTCTAGCTCGAACTTTGCGCAACTGGCCCTCGTCGTCCGTGTAAACATTATCAGATGCGCGGATGGCGTGCAGTGGGGCACCCTGGTCCTATATATGACCATACCTGTCCATCCCCTTGCCAAACAAGCACATACACCACATTAGCGCCCCCGGAACCGCCCAAAGCAGGATCTCACCCTCACACTGACTATCCACTGTAAAAAGCACCTTGTTAACATCGCGAAAAAGCTCGCACACCCAAGGGGCCACGCTGCATGCGCACGACCACAGAGAGACTTGAACTGTGCTTCTCGTGCGCGGGGAGCCACACACACACACACTTCAGCGACCGTGTGGCAAAAACATGAAAAAAAGTAGCCGACATAAAGGTGCACGATGATATCCGAGTGCACGTCCCATGCTGGCGCACACACACACACACCAATTAAGTAGCGCGTTGTCGATGCCACACATAATGCATTGAATGTTCGACTGTTGTGGGAGCCCACGAACCAACATATCATGATTCGGGATGCGGCGGCCGTCCTGCCATTCCCATCCGAGCAACCGCACGACACGCCTGCTCCCCACACAGCACAATCGCTGAGCGCTTTGCGCGTGCCTCAATCAGGGTCGTGTTCATCTCGCTTCGCGATGCACCGTCAACGCAACCTGCAGACACCATACACACGGGCAATCGCCCAACATAAACACAACATCGCGCTCACTCTGTACCAGATCCGTCGCACGGAAATCAGACAACCGCGTTCGTGCTGTTTGCTTGCTTGCTTGCACGCGCATCCTTGTATAGAAGAGAGCGTGATCCACCGCCGCTTTACTGTGGAAAATTCCCCCCTTTTCCTCCGGAACCCGGGGGTCCCCCCCTCTCCGAAAATCCCCTCTCCCCTGCTGGACACCCCCCCCTTCCCCCCAGCAAAACCCCTCCTTCCCCTAACCCCCCCCATCCTGAAAATCGGGGGGTGGTCACTACCGATTCGAACCCCCCCCCCACCCTCCAAAAAACCGGAAGGAACTACCGATTCGAACCCCCATCCCCCCACCCTCCGGAAAACCGGGGGGGATCACTACCGGTTCGAAACCCTCCCCCCCCTCCCCCCCAGAAAACCAAAGGGGGGTCATTACCGGTTCGAACCCCCCCCCCTTCAGAAAACCGGGAGGGGGGTCACTACCGGTTCAAACCACCCCCCCTCCAGAAAACCGGGGGGGATCAATACCGGTTCGAACCCCCCCCACACACACGCTCACCGCCAGCAAACGACTCCCGGGTCCCTACCACCGTCCGCGCCACATCCCCCACTGCTGTCCCCACCACTGTCCTCACCACCACTATCCCCACTGTTCCCACCACCGTCCCCACTGTCCCCACCAGTGCCCCCACCACTGTCGCACTGTCCCCACTGTCCCCACCACTGGTCCCCCCACGGTCCCACTCTCCCCACTTTCCCCACGGCGCAAACCACTGTCCCACTGTCCCCACTGTCCCCGCCGCTGACCCACTGAGCTGTCCCACTGTTCCCACAACTGTCCCCAATGTCCCCGCCACTGTCCCCGCCACTGTCCCCACTGTGCCTCTGTCCCATTGTCCCACTGCCGTCCTCGCCACCGCCCTCACCACTGTCCCCACCACCACTGTAACCTCCACTGTCCCAGTGTTTCCAACACATTCCCACTGTCCCCACACCACTGTCCCCACCACCACCGTCCCCACCAATGTCCCTCTGTTCCCACCATTGTCCCCGCTGTCCCCACCAGTGCCCCCACCAGTGTCTCGTTGTCCCCATTCTCCCCACAATTGTCCCACCACGGTCCCACTCTCTTCGCTTTCCCCACGGTCCCCACCACTGTCCCACTGTCCTCACTGTACCCACCACTGTCCCACTGTCCCCGCCGCTGTCCCACTGTGCTGTCCCACCGTCCCCACTGTCCCCACCACTGTCCCACTGTCCCCACTGTCACCACCACTTTCCCCACTGTACAACTGTCCCACCACTGTCGTCACCACCGCCTTCACCACTGTCCCCACCACTACCGTCCCCACCACTGTCCCATTGTCCCCACCACTGTCCCGCTGTCCCTTCACCACTGTCGCCACCACCACCGTCCCCACCACTGTCCGCACCACTGTCCCACTATCCCCGCACCACTGTCCCCACCACCACCGTTCCCACCAGTGTCCCAGCATCCCCACCATTGTCCAACTGTCCCGAGGGGCGGGGATCGTTTGCCGGCGGCGGGGGGGGTTCGAACCGGTAGTGACCTCCCCCGGTTTTCGAGGGGGGGGTTGAACGGGTAGTGACCCGCCCCCTTTTCATGATGGACTGGGGGGGGGGTCGAACCGGTAGTGACACCCCCCCGCCCCCCCCGGATTTCGAGGGGGGGGGAGACGGGTTGGGAACCCCCAATGACCCCCCCGGTTGTCCGCCTGCAGCGGTAGAACACGCTCATGATTCGATAGAAAAAACATGGTGTTACACATATTGTGCACATGCGAAAATACATACCTACATGCATGCATTCATGCATACATACATGCATGCATACGTACATACACACATACATACATACATACATACATACAGACAGACAGACAGACATACATACATACATACATACATTCATACATACAACCACACATACATATATACATACCTACATACATACATACATACATACATACATACATACATACATACATACACACACACACATACATACATACATGCATGCATACATACATACATACATACATATAAATAAATAATTATCTGCATACATATGCACAGCCCTGATCACCTTTTTCTGCCAGGGCGGGGGTCTGGTGAGAGCGAGGGCAATTGCCAGGTGGCGCAGGGCAGCGTCGAGGCCCGGCGCCGAGCATTCAACAGAACAAGAGGCCAACACTTTGGGCGCAATGGGACAGAAAGAAGAGGAGGAGGAGAGGAGGAGGAGGACTTGAGCAAGGACGGCGATGGAACGGACCGTTCACATCTGCAGGCGGTTTGCGAGTGGGGCGTGCAAAGCTGTTTGGAAAACGAATCGATGCACAGCCCTGATCACCTTTTTCTGCCAGAGCGGGGGTCTGGTGGGAACGAGGGCAATTGCCAGGTGGCGTCGGGCAGCGTCGAAGCCCGGCACCGAGCATTCCACAGAACAAGAGGCCATAGACCATACTGGATGCCTGGCAGCCGCTATCCCAGCTTAGTAGAACATTAGCGAGAGACGAGGCTGGACAAACGAACTGACAGGCGGCGTTCGGCGGAGCGGTGGAGCCAGAGACCCGCAGCAGCAGCAATGGGGGCGGGATAAGGTTCCGCGATGGCTGTCCACCGCTTGCCCCCAGGCCCGCCGCCCTCAAGTGTGATGTGATGCAGGCCAGACTTACTGCAGAGCCCACCCCGGCCGCGGCATTTGTACAGCAGAGGCTGGGGGGGAGGCAGGTGCACCAGCCGCGGAATCGAGTGGCCTTCCTCCATCTGGTGCCGTGTTGACAGAAATCTACATTGGCGTCTTTACAAGAGGAGCGGGAGAGAGGCAACATGCGAGGATGAGACCACATCATTGACGAGCGAGGATTTCTAAAATAAAAAGCACGGCGTGGCGCTTGCACTCGAGGCCGACTCGCATGGCGAAGTGGAATGCGGAGCCGGGAGGCGGCGTCGCCCTGCAGACCAGGGTGGCCGTTCAGAGCGCGTGGTGAACGATAAAAGTGGCGAGAGGCCTGAGACCATGTCGAGCAGGGGGGAACGCGCATCACTCCTCGCACCACGCGAGATCTCAGCCAGCCGATCACGATGGCCCCGCACACGCGCCGAGACAAGTCGAAAGCGGGGTGGGCAGCCACGTCGATCCGCAGGACCGCGTAGTCGGACTTCCGCTCGAGCCAACTCGCAACCTTGCCAGCGCCGCTGAACAGGTCCAGGTAAACCTGGTGCCTACGGGAGCCCGAAAGGGCCGCCCGCAGCGCGGCCCGCCAGTGGCGGCGCACCGCCGCGTCCGTCAGGACTTCGGCCGCACCGCCTGTGTCGCCGCGGCGCCAGCTGCGCCCTGCGCGGAGCGCGGCGCGCGAGCCCGCGGCAGCGGCGGCAGCGGCGCCCGGCCCCGCAGCAGGTCGCCCAGGCGGGCGTCGATGTCCCGCCCGAACTGCGCCACCTCGGGGCTGAGCTTCCCGACCTCCGCGAAGTACCTGACGTGCCTGGCGCACCGCTTCGTCGAGCTGTCCGACTGGTGCCTGGATGTCCGCAAGCTTCTCGCCCAGGACTGCGGCTCGGTACGAGGCTCCGCCGTGGCGCACCTGGTGCGGGTGGCAGTCTTGGTGGCCCAGCTGGTCGAAAACCGTCCTGAACTTGGCGTTGAAGACCCTCGCGTCGAAGTCCCAGAGCGGCTTGCCGTCTGGGCGGCCTCGCTTCAGCCTGGCCAGGTCCACGCCGAGGGCCACGGACATCGAGTCTGACAGCACGACGCCCTCGTCGCAGCCCAAGGTCTTGCTGACCTGATTGAACTCCTCTGGGAAGACAAGCAGGCTCCACACGGCTCGGCCGGAGCGAGGCGCGGGCGCCACCAGCGTCGCGGGCGTCATCTGCACGATCTCGCTGGGAACCCGAACCATCGTGTCCCAGCTGAGCGCCAGGGCGATGGCGAAGTTCCGCCAGCCTCGGTGCAGAGCGACGCCCACGGCCGCGAACAGCAGCTCCCTCGCCTTGGGGGCCCACGTCGACCCCCGCACCAGCTTGCGGAAGCCCCGCAGCCCGGCGGCGGTCCTCTCCAGAGCCGCCGCCGCAGTCAAGCCCAGGCCCGGGTTGAAGTGCCTCAGCGCCGCGAAGGCCTTGTCCCCCTTGTGGTGATGGCGGCCCTCCCAGAACAGGAAAGCGAGTTACTGGGAGAAGGCCGAGTCGATGGATGGCAGCCCGAGGATCGACAGGCCCCTCGAGCGGGCCCAGGTCAGGAAGTCCAGGTACTCCTTCTCGAAGTACACGCGGGACGCGTTGCCGACCTTCAGGCTCTGCAACACCGTGAGCCCCTCGGCCTGGGCTCGCTCGTCTGCACCGCGGTGGGCTGAGCGGCGAGCCTTCGCCCGGGCTAGGCGGAGAGCCTCGGCCCTCGCCGGGGGCGGTCTCGCACGGCTGGTCGATGCCACTGTCCGAGCTCGAAGATGAGGAGCCGTCGCCGACCGCACCGCCGCTGCCCGCCCCGCCGAGGAGCCCCGCGAGGCCACCGAGCGGGTAGGGGCCGTCGTGCAGTGCGTCCCCGAGCCCGGCCGCGCCGGGCCCGCTGGGGCCGCTGGGCTCCGCGCCCGAAGCCGCGGCACAGCGGCAGCGGCGCCTCCGAACGAGCGCGTCAACATCCCGGCCGAGGGCCTGGAGCCCGCTGGGGCTGGCTGACGGGCCTCCGAGATACGCAGCATGTCGGGGGTCAGCACGAGCGCCCAACGTATGATGAAGCCTGAGCCTAGAGGGCTTGTCGGCGGGGCTCCACTCTGACGGAATCCATCTGAGGATGAAGGTGGTGTCGGTGACAATAGATATGGCGCACAGCTGCTGCAGGACGTGATTGAGAGTGATGGAAGGGGAGCGCCCTTTTCCAACCGCGAGTGCGAGCCCGAGGTTGTCGACCAAGATGAGGTGCCGATGACTATGCCCGCAGCGCCCTCGCACTGCGTGCCGCGCGGCCATTACAGCCGCTCGCCCCTCAAGAACGGTGACGTCCTCGTCACGCTGAAACTCGCCGTGGAAGAAGACACCCCAATCGTTGAAGTCACCGATCGAGGACCTCGCGACCCCCTCGAAGCTGGTGGAGCCAGCGCGGGCCTGGCGGCGGCCGACCTTGGCCCCCTCGACCGGGTCGAAGCCAAGCGCGCACTCGCGGGCCCCGATGGCGTCCAGCACGGAGTATCGCCAGGCCTCCGCTGACGAGGCGGTGCGCTCCACGAGCTCATCGGCCCAGGTCTGCCCCACCACGCCATAGCCGCCCCCTGAACCAGATTGGCCCCGGGAAGCGTCCGAGGCGTAGACGAAGGGGCTGTTGGGCCTCTTGGAGTCGGAGAAAGCGAAGACCAGCAAGGCAGCCGCCTGCCGCAGCTCGAGCTCCACGCAGCTCCACAGCCGCAGGCGGCGGTGTCCAGCGGCACGGGCAGAGACGCATGCCTGTTGAAAAATGCTCAGAAGTGGCCGCCTCACGAGTGCGGCCCAAGTGAAGTGCCCAAGCAAGCTAAAGATCTCGTCCCCCGTGGCCGAGCGGCGGTCCGCCACGAACAACAGAACAAGTCGGATCTTCCACATCCGACCCGGACTGATGCCTACCCGCCCTCTGCGCCTCTCGAAGGTGATGCCGGTGAAGGTCTGCAGGTCCTCAGGCTCCATGGCGCCCTTGCACTTCAGGCCGACCCGCTCCAGCTCGCTGACGACCTTGGCGCAGTCGGCCACGCAGCGGTCGCCGTCGCCGCCGACGATGTAAACGTTGTCGACGTAAACGCCAGGATGGGTCGAAGAGGTGCGGACCTGCAAGGGAGCGTGGCGGTCCATGATGAGCGGCCCGGTGTCGATCCCGGACCGCAGCGCGGTTGTCTCCAGCAGCCTCTGGCAAAAATCGAAGCTCCACGACCACCCCATTGGCAACACTCGCAGGAGAGGCGAACCGAAACGTGCGTCGGGCAGGTCAATGTTCACCCCAGCCGCCTCGGCGAGCTGTCGGAGCAAACTCAAGTGCACGCTCGGCAACGAGAAATGCTCGTCCATCTTGTCAGGCAACTTCACCCTGTAGAAGGCGTTGTCCACGTCGGCCTGAGCCATACTCAACGAAGAAGAAGGATTGGTACGTAGCGCCGCCCACGCGGCGGCACTGGGTAACTGAGAGTGATCAGGGTCGTGAAACCGTGCGTTGACTCGTCGCGTGTCGAAGATGAGCCGAAGCCGTTCTCGCCCGCTCTTCCACACACAAAACACGCCCACCGTGGCACTGCTCTTGGCCCCGACTCTGACAAGGCCGGAGGTGTACAGGTCCAAGATGAACTGCGCATAGCGCCGCCTATCCGCCATAAGATTGCGATCACTGTGAAGCTTGATCTCCTTGTCAGGCGCAGGCGTTCGGCGCAACAAATGTCTCTCCCAATGTACCCGCTGATCGTGCTCGAGGCCACGTAGGACGTCGCTGGGATCACAGCGCGCGCCCGGCCCCGGCAGGGAGAGGATCTCCCTCTGGTACTGGGCGGGTTGCTCGGGCTCAGTCGCGTAGCCCGGCTGGTGGCCGCACAGCTCCTGGTGGGCTGCCGCGGGTGAGCAGGGCGGAGGGCCCGCCTGCTCGATGATGGTCTGCATGAATTCCAGGCCGCGTTGCTGCCCAACTGATACTGAAAAATATTCTCGGGCGCCACCATGACCATGCAGGGCATTCAGGCTCTCGGCCGCGTCGGCGACCCAGTTCGTCACGTGCGTGCGGCGGCGCACTCGTGAGCGCGCCGCCCTCGACAGCCCGGCGGGGCCGCCGTCGGCTCGCGCCGCCGCGAAGCCGCTCGGGGCGCGATCCCAGGTGGCCGCGTCATTGGCCCCGGCCGGCCCCGCAGTCCTTCCCCGCGCCCTTCTCCTGAATCTCCTTGAGCTCGGCGGCCTGCTGCTGGATCTTCTTCTGGAGCTCCGCCTTGGACCCGGCGGCGCCGCTGCCGCCGCCTCGTGAGAGCATCCTCTCCTCCTTCGCCTTGCGGCGCTCCTTGAGGATCTGAGCCTCGCGACGCATCTCCGAGTTGATGCGGTCAACCAGCGCCGGCGCGACCATCACCAGCCCACGGGTCTCACCCGAGCCGAGGTAGAGGTAGCTCTCCTCCATCAGATCGTCACCCTGGACAGCCGCAAGGCGATCACGATGCCGCCATTCGGCCATCTGGGCCTTCCGCATCAAGAGCTCGAAGGAGGCGAGCTCGCCCAGGTTCAGCTGGTCGAAGCTGAGGCCGAGCTCCGCCATGCGCATGGCGAGGTCATGGTCGCCGACGCCCTCATCCGTGGCCTCCAGCCTGCATTCGTGGACCCACTTCGCATGTCGGGCCCGAGGATGCTGGTCCTGGCGCGCTAGAAACTCCAGGCACCAGGCAGCCGTCCTCGGGCCCATGATGGGCCACTCAGCCCACTCCGTGGTCGACGCCAGTCGGGCGGCCTCAGTGAAGTGACGACGCCGACTGCCGTCGGGCCTGGTCTTGATGTCCAGCACCCGCGCGTCTGTCTCCAGCTCCGGGCCGGGCGACGAGGGGTCCACGGCCTTCGCCAGCATGCTGTCGGCGCCCCGAGTGGCGATGCCAACCTTCCCCACGACCAGATATCCGTCGAAATCCTGGCGGCGCACCGCCTGCCTGACTCCGTCGGGTTCTCCCCCGCCAGCACGTACCAGCTCAGCCCGTCGTTGGCGGGCAGTGGTCCCGACCCCACCAGCATGCCTGGATAGAGCTCCTCCGCCGGGCTAGTTGCCGCTCCTGCTGCTGGAGTCGACCTCCACGAGGCCTTCCCCTTGATGCGCCTGGAGGGCTTCTCGCCACCCTGGAGGGCCAGGCAGCCTGGCCTCACCGCCTCCAGGGCTTCGCACACCTCGAGCGCGGTCGGCTCCCACTCGGCGCCGTATGCCGCACTCGCTGCCCTCCACCGGCGCCCAAACGCCGTCTCCGTCATCGGCGACCCGTCGTTTTTCAGAGCCACGAAGCCTGAGAGGTGGCCCTCCGACAAGATGTGCGGGTACACGTCCAGGTCTGAAGTGAGGGCGTACCACGCGCGGTGTCCAGCGATCTCCATCGGACTCGGCGTCGCCTCCAACTCTGCTTCGCACTCCGAGCTCTGGCACTCGCACAACAAGATCCGATCCTGCCAGGTACCGCCCACCTCCCACAAGAGGCGAACGCGACGCCCAGGTCGTAGATAGGACATGTCCACCGAGGCAGCAGCACAGGGTCAAGCTCACGCCAGCGATAAACCCTGCAACGAGACAAAGGACGGCCAGCGATCGGATGCTCCCGAACGAGCCCACAGCCAACGCACAGTCGGAGGCCTCCTCGGCCAGCGGCCCCAGCCCTGGCCCAACCGAATCGAATATGGCGATGGCGCCGCGCGCTGCTTTGCTCAGGAGGCCTAGGACCCCCATACAAGCTGGGATGGCGCTGCCGCCCGAAAAACTTGAGCAAGGACGGCGATGGAACGGATCGTTCACATCTGCAGGCGGCTTGCGAGTGGGGCGTGCAAAGATGTTTGGAAAACGAATCGATATGGTGATCGCGCGTCGCGCCCGATTAGGTTCTTCCCACAGCTGCTCAACGATGTGCGGCCAACGGCTTCGCGCTCTTGCTCACCGACACTCGGTGACGCCCATCTACAGGTGGCCATGCGGCTCGCAATCGCAAGAAACAAGCGTTTCTCATGTGTCGGTGAGCTGCGCGCGGAAAGAGATACAAGAAGCACCGAACATACCAGAAGAGAAAAACAGCAATAAGAGCACGAATGCACTCCCACCAGCTTGGTAGAGCGAGCGCGCTCTGGGGACACAGTTCGTGAACATGGTCGGAACATTCGTCGTCTTCGGCTGGCGGAGTTGGCGTGACAGGAAGGTTCCATCACTGTCTCAAGGGGAAAGGACAAGACCACTACGCGCGCGACATCTTGGACCCCAGAGATGCGAGGATGTCCCACGTCAAACTGTTCAGACCACCTGGCGCGCTAAATCTGAGAACCCCGTGGAACGCACGGGAAGAAATGCATGTAATACACCGAGACACCAAGTACAAGTAAGAGGACGCGTGCTATAAGAGAGCAAATGCTCGTTCTTTTTACGGGGGCCAGGGCGCGCCCGTCGCCTGCGCCCCAGATGACTCAGGGGCCATTCCGAACCATAACTGCGGCACACAAGGGAGGCGGAACGGAGGCACAGGAGGAGGAAGAGAGGCTGAAACACGCGCGACAACCACAGCTCCCACCTTGCTTGCAGCCGAAAAGCCGACTCAGCCTCAGTCCGCGAACTTCCTCTTATCGTTACCGTAGCCCTGGTAACCGTAGCGCTCTGGAGACCGTAGACTTCGCAAGCAACCCCAAAGCGTCTGCGACACGCAGCCAACGCAGCCACATGAACACACATGCCTTTAGAACGTCCCTGGTGGAGGTCCACCCAGGGATCGTCAGATCCTAATTCGCCCGCAGCTACCCCCATCTCGCCAATGAAACGCTTCGGCTCGGAGCCGCCGGGGTCATGCCGATACCAAGTTCGATCCAAGTAGCGGGGTGCTGCGCTGAGCTCCATGGTCCATTGAGGAACCATCTACCGCTCCTGGGGATCAGCTTGACAAAGGGAAGTCCGAACTCGTGTCCATCTGCAGGTCGGAATCCTCGGTCGGCTAGTCCGAGTTAGCGTGGGCACTCGGCGACGCGGCGGAATAACCCGCGCCGCAAGGTGGATCCTGATCGTGCGATTCCATGGCTTGTGCCATCCAAAGACAGGCTGCTTCCGCTGGATCCCGTCGTAGATTTTCCTCATTGTACGAGCGTGGATCCAAAGATTGGTGACACAGGTACTGCCTTCGACAGACACCACTGCTTGTGAACATGCATATTGGAATAGCCTGCGCGGCGTCTGCGATCCACCTGCATCTCGAAAATGCACGAGCACATATTCACCTCGGGACTCACGTCAGACGACACGCGCACGATATAGCGGGGGGGTACTGTCACGGCGGGCTGTTCCTTCGCAGTAAACACCGAAGATGTTGCCCGTGCTCGAAGGTCCCTGCTTCAGCTCGAACAGACCTTCCCTGCTCCAGACAAGAGCAACTGCTGCCAGGTTGGCGCCGCGGCGCGCAGGCTGGAGGTCGGCATCCTGGTGGCCGAGGGCTGTATCTGGCGACGTCTCCTTGGCGTACATCACGGACGTATCGATTCGTCGCCGTTGCCTGGTTGGGCATGCGATTCGGCCCTGGCCATAGGGGCCGTCGATGATTCCCGAGAGACGTTCGCAGGAAGACCCAGGCCCCCACGGCAGCTGAATATCCCGGATTGAACTTCCAGAACCAACGCGTCCAAAACAATCGCCGCGACAGAGGGCGTCGATCAGCTCGCCGCGTCGACGTTGGCACATTCCTTCCAGTGGGAGTTCATCATCTTCTCGAAGGCTTGATTTCTCCTGTTCACCAGCTTGTAGTTCTGCCTCCCGTGGGCGCCGATGTAGTTCTCTTCGGGCCCAAGAAGTACATGGCCCTTTCTTCGCTGGAGATTCTTCCACCAGAGGACTGGGACGCACTGTTCGAGCGTCACCACGGCGTTCGCGGGTTTCCGCAGCTGGCGGCGCGTTGTCTACAGATCCCTGAAGAATATACACGGCGTTTGCCTGCTCGCGGCGACTGGCAAGACTGCGTTTTAGCTCCTCGCCCTGCGCGCGCTCGCCGCGGTCCGCGATCTGATCCGCGAGATCCCGAAGCGCGGCCTCATCGCCCTTCGCCAGCTCCCCTCAGCCGTCGTGCATTAGCTGTCGTGCATTAGCTTCTTCTCCTCCTGGGTCGGATGCCGGAAGTTCCTGCCGATCCTCGGAAGGTCGCTGTACTTCACGCTCTCCGCGAGAGCCAGCGCCGCGGGGACCCGGCCATATAGGCCCCTGAAGTTCCCCCAAGCAAACTCCGACGCAGGGAGGGCACTCGCCGGGTCGTCGACCTCGGCCTTTGCGCACGCGGCGAAGTAACCATAGAGAGTCTCGCTGCCCCGTTCCGCGGCTGCGCCCGCCAGGTACGGCGCCGCGATCTGGGCGCCAAGCGCGCTGCACGACGCGACCAGATGAACGGCTTCCTTGGCGGGAACGGACGTCAGCAGCTTCATCACGACATGAAAGGAAAGGAATCTCGGACTTTGATGCTGAACTGCAAGCATCTCAGCCACCTGCTGGATTATGGTCGCGGCAGGGTCTTGAGCTCGATCATCCATCGCCTGTCGAGCTCGGCTCCTCAGAGCCAGATAATAAATCAGATCGTCGGTCGGCCCGCGTCCGTTCTTCTCCTCCATGTTCTCGCCCTGATACTGCGTCGTCTCGGCCTCCGCCATCTCCCGCTTCATCTGCAGTATCTTTACCTTCTCTACGTCCGCGAGGCACGACAGCGGCAATTGACATGCCGGCAGCGAGTCTCGTCGATAGAGGAGGTCGCCAACGGTAGCCCAGACGTGGCAGTCACCCCCTGCAAGAATTCCTGGGACACCCCAACGCCCCTGCCACTCCACCTCACCGCGGCGGCGCCTGCGCGGCCCTGAAATCTGGGACATTCAAAGGCGAAGGCCGCGCAATTCATGCGCGGCGGATTCGCGATCTTGTCAATCGGGATCTCCACCAAGTCGCCCGGAGAAACGTCCAGTTCAGCATCTTCTTCTTCAAGCTCCCTGCTGGCTGCGTGCCTGGCGGCGTCGTCGAGTCCCAGGTTCCCTTTGTGGGCAGCGCCCGCATCCCTCGGGTCGATCCTTCCACCCGGCGCAGCGACCGCGCGCGGGGGTGCCATCCTCCTGCTCCTGCGGTGGACCGAGACGGAAAATCTGCCAAACTCATCGGGAACCAAGACCTAGAGACCAACGGTCCCGAAATACTTCGGCCTGGGGAGTGCTGGCTAGGAGCCGTGCACTTGCGGTTCCTCGACTGTCTCCGCGGCCGCGTCGTCGTCATAATGTTCCTCGATAGGAGATAGCTGAGCAGACCATGGTGCAGCATCATCGCGCTTCCTGAATGGTCCAGCTGATTTGGGCATTGCTTCGGACAGGGCCTGTAGCCGCGTTAGCTTCTCTCGAGCCCAGGCCTCTGCATCGGCAAAGCGCAATTTCTCCGCGCAGGCTTCGCAGGGCGCCCCGGGGAGCTGCAGGGAGCCACCGGCTGGATGCTGCACCCGGCGATCCGCGGCTGGGATCCTCGTCCTGCTCGTCATCACCCTCACTCGAGTCCACGTCCACGACGTCCTCGGCCTGCGCGGCCCGGTGCTTGATCCTCCGGATCACGCGGCGCCTCCGGTCATTGGCCATTTTTGCTTCGACGCCATGGGGCCAGCACGTTTGCCGAGAAGCGTCCAACCCAGGTTCTTCCTGGTTGCTTCTCGATGTCCCTTCGAGCTCTCCGCGGCTTCCCCCATGTCCGCCAGCAAGCTGAAGTTGTTCCTCTTGTCCATCAGGGCGCGCTTGTTCCTGTGGAGCCACACTCGCAGCATCTTCTTGAAGTAGCGGTTCCAGGAGGCCCAGGTGCGGAAGTTGCAGGTCGCCTGCGAGAGCTGGTTCTTTCGAGCACGCTGGATGCGTTGCATCTCCGAACGCGCAGCGAACCTGTAGAGGAAGGTCGGCAGTCCCTGCACGCAGCCAGCCTTGTTCCCGACCTCGGGGTCCACCACTTCTGCGACGTTGGCTTCAAGCTGGCGTCAAGCGTGCACGAGTCCGGTATCTGCCTCGCGTCGTTGCTGGATCAGTGCCTCTGGAGCAGCTCCGGGTACCGCTCAAACTTGAGCCATTGAGACTCAGCGCGCTTGTCGTGGCCTGCCGCCTGCTGAGCAAGGATCCTCTGTCGCCGAGAAGCTGAACCTACTTCTATATGCCCCGCGTGGTCCACCCTGCGCATCAGGAGACGCAGCTCCGCCTCGAGGCGTTGGCCGGCGGCCGGCGAGGGCGTCGCGCGTCCTCTGAGGTGATGCATTGGCGTGATCGATTCGGGCGGCATCCATTCCATGGGAACGGATTCAGCAAGCTCGCGGCGGTCCACATGCTCGTCGAAGGCACTGCTATACGCGCCCATCTTCCGCGCCCACGTCTCGACGCTCGATGATCTTACGACTCAGGCACTCGCCCGCAGCGCGGCGCCCGGCGAGACGCAC